CATCATAGATGTTTCTGATTCTCTTTCGAGTGAGAATGACTTCATTTGTGGAGATGTTTTTGAGAGATGCCATGTCCTTGTAGAATTCCAAGGAGTAACCTTTATCACAAAACTGACTTATGCTCAGAACGTTATAATTGAGACCTTCCACATAAGATATAGCTTTGATGGTTAGTCCCTTGTACACCAGATTTCCTAGCCCTTTAGTGAGGCCAAAGTCATTGCTTCCTCCAAAAGTAACTCTTGGACCATCATAGGGAATTTGATTGCTCAAGAGGCTCGCATCACCCGTCATGTGTCTTGAACAGCCACTGTCTAAGTACCAGACACCTGGGTACTTAGCGGCTTCCTGCATTAGGAGGAGGAAGATTTTGGTACCCAATTCAGTTTGGGTCCGGAATAGTTAATGGTGTGTGTCCCTACATCAAGTTTGAAGTTGCAGGGAATTTTCCTTGCAGCCCTAAACTTGTTGGGATTATAATCATAGTTGTATGCATAAAATTTCCTACGAGCAGGTGGTGCATTTTCCTGTTTCCACCTGGCAAACCTAGGTTGACAAGACCTATAGTTTTGTCTAGGTTGTGTATAGTGTGGCCTGTGTCGGTTGTAAGCATACTTAGGTGGAACAAATAGTTTCTGGGGTGGAGGTTGACTATATTTTGGCACAGTTCTCCACTCAGAATTTCTTGGAAAACTCCTATCTACCCCATAATGAGTATAGCCTCGCGTATAGTGGGGGTTAGAAGGTTTTCTTCTGAAATTATTTCCTCTTTAAGGTCTGTCCAGCTTCCTATAGTTCTTAGGAGGGACTACCTTTTTGGGAACTTCTCTGGGTTTCTCATTTTCCTTTCCTTTCTACTTATTGGATTTGGCAGTAGGTTTAGGAGGGATAAAAGTTGTTCTCCCTTTCCTTTTGGAACTGGAGGGGTCAAACCCAAGTCCTTCACGACCCTTTTGTTTGGTCGCTTCAAGAAGCTTATCCACTGCTTCTTTGGACTTAAGTATCCCAAGCTCCTTGTTGAGGGATTTCACCTTTTCAGAGAGAGATTTATTTTCAGCCTTGAGTTGAGTGATCTCATCTAGTTGACTTTTCCGACCTTCAGTCAACTTGAGATTCTCTTCACTCAGTAGCTTGTTCTCATCTGTTAAGGATGAGTGTTTGAGATTTATTTCCTCAAAATCTTTCATCATCTTTTTGAACTTGTCAAAAAGACTTTCAGAAGTTGGTACGCTTTTATAAGAAGATGAACAGGAGGTTTGAGAGGTTACCTCTTGTTCGACATCATCTTTGGCTATAAGACAGAGAGTGTCATCTTCTGACATAGTCCACCGATCCTCATGGTTGGACTTCTCATCTCTGCGCTCCATGCAGACGAGGGCTTCTTCATCCGAGCTTGAGCTGGATGACTCGTCACTTTCAGCTGCAACCATTGCTTTCTTCTTCTTTTCGTTCCTTTCTCTTTCTCCGTACTTCTCCACCTTTGGGTACGGGCACGCTGACTTCCAGTGACTAGGTTTCCTGTAGTTATAACATAAATAAGATTCAGGATGGGAGTCACTTACCTGTGGCTTTCCCTTGGATGGCCTTCTGAATGAGTCAGCTTTCTTGAAGAACTTCTTGAACTTCCGGAATTGTTTTACCATCATGGCAAACTCCTCATCATAGTTCTCCATTCTTGAGCTTGACGGCTGGCTGGAGGAAGGTGGGTCACAGTTCCTTGGGCATGTCCCTTCACTCGGTGGGACTCTGGGAGTTGTCATCAATGCCGTGTGGAAGGGAGTGACTTGTTCTTCCTTCTTCTTCATCAGCTCATGCTCATAGGTTCTGAGCTCATCAAGGAGACCTTGGACAGTGTAGTTCTCCAGGTTTCTTCCTTCTTTCATGGCTGTGGCTTTGGTGTACCACTCAGTTGGAAGAGATCTCAGTAACCTTACATTCTTTTCTTTGGGAGAAAGAATGTGGTTAAGTGATGCAAGATCATTTAAGATTTTGTGGAATCTTTCATCCAACATATCAAATGATTCTCCGGGAAGCATTTTGAAGCTTTTGAACTTTTCAAGCAGGACTTCTATCTTCTGCTTTCTCAAGTCCTCCGATCCCTCACACAGCTTCCCAAGACCTTGCCAAATCTCCATGGCAGTCTTCAGATGCTTGATCTTGGAGAAGGTGATGGGATCAAGTGTCTTGACGAAGGCTGCTTTGGCGACGTTGTCCAAATTGTGCTTCTTGCAATCTCTATCATCCCATTTCTCCTTGGGCTTTGGAATGTACTGGACAACATCAGGATTGGCTGGATTCCTCTCAGGGTTCTCCATTTGGATTTTCAAGGGTCCATCCTCAAGCACCATCCACATGCAATCATGTAGGGCGTAAAGGTGTGCTTCCATCATGATCTTCCAATCATCATAACCTAACAGAGAAAACTTGGGCAAATCGTGATCCATATTGTTCTCCATTATGATCGCTTCTCATTAATCTAAATGTAGATTATGAGAAGTTAGCTCCGATACCAATTGCTGGTCCCAAAGTGGTGAGATACAAAGTCTAGAGGGGGGGGGTGAATAGACTTTGTTACAATTTTAAAACTTTTTCGTTTCTTTTGAAAACGTGAAAATAGTGTAAATCTAGAGTTCTTGGGAACTTTAGATTGTGTGCGGAATTTGGTGGGTAGTATGAGCAGTAATCAATATGGATGGGTTAGTTTTCACAGTTAATATAATTGCAAGTAAGAGTAAAGATAAAAGAGAGAGACACGCAAACTTTAACGAGGTTCGAAGGTGGGGTAATCCTTCTACGTCCTCAAAATCCACTATGTAGTTGGTTGTTGAATAAAGAACCAACAATTACACTTGTGTGAATTTCTGCACGGTATATCTTCGCAAGGCCAAAGTTGCTACTGCACTCGTGCTGGCTTTGTTGTTCCTTCGAAGGTCACGCTTCTTCAACAACTGCAAGATCC